GATCGGCAAATACAGACAGTACCTAGTTTTAACAATACAGCTTGCTCTGCTTCAGTCGGATATCTCGACTTTGGTTGCGGATCGTGTGGCCAATGAATGGAAACAAAGAATAGACAAAGTAGAAGAAGAATGGACAGAGCGAATGAATAAGGTTGGGACTTGATGAAAGCTGGCACAAATGAAAAGAAAAATCATTTTGTAGAATGATGCTGATCATGCGATACAACTGGCAACAACGAAAGCTGACATGCACGCCGCTTTGGAAACGAAGGATAGAGAGGTTAACCCGAAAAATGCATCGAAGCTTGGGCTCAAAATATACTTTAATTGTTGTTTTAGATTGAATCTTGGAGGTCAAAATGTCGCGCTTTGGAGGTACAAGACGGGCAAGCAAATGAGCGTTGGCAAAAGAAAGTGGACGAACTACAACAAGTAATTCAGGTGTAGTGTGTGTAGTCTGTCTGCGTCTCAACGTCTGTTTATTGTCTCCGTTGCTAACGTGTAACCGCAAGGCACGGGTTGTGTTGGGTTAAAAATACCAAGTATATGGAATAGGTGCAAGTTTGAGCGCTCATACAAGATCTTTGTGAAGCAAAATCCGAAGGGGAGGAGCTTTAGCAAGATTTTTTCTGCAAAAGACCTTGCGGTTGCTCGGTTAGCGGTTTCGTTGGCAACATTACCGCCCTTACAAAATGTATTTTTCTTTGAAGCGCCGTGGTAATTAAGGAGCCCTTTGAAGAAGGAGAGGTAAACCCTGGGGAAAGTTTTGCCACCTTTTATTGATTCCCCCATCACACCTTTCTTTCTGAGACTGCATTCATAGTTGGCTGCTGGAGAAGAGGCGAATCGACTTTTTGAGAGAACGCGCATCCCTTCTGATTCTCTTATTCTCCAGTTCTTCCGTCGCAAAGTATCGACGCTGCCTTACTATTAGGGACATTGGGGACGGTTAGCTCGCTATTTGCAAATTACAATGACAAAATTGTTACGCATAGCCCTTCAATTCACCGACGCTACCCGAAACCTGCGAAGGTACTGACGCTACAGGTCCGCAGTGATTTAGTCTTATAGAAGAAAAGTTCCACGAATTAGACGCTTCTATCCTAATGTGTAGGTTTTTCTTTTTTCAGGCGTTGGAAGTAGAGAAAGGCGATATGATCGAAAAGCTATCTGCTGCGAAATTACAGGGTGTTAAGGTGAGCGTCTCGACTCTCCGTGGAAACCATTCTTATAAGTTTCCAAAGCACCGATTTTGTTCACATTTTTAATGAACTGCATTTATATGTCTTCAACTAAAATTTTCAATATCTACCTTCCTCAACTTTTCCCGGTCTCGCTGCCTTGCTTATTCCAAGTGCTGGTTCTGAACTTCAACATAATCCGTTCCTGGTAGCGGTTTACTCGTTAGAGCCCCCTCTGGGTTTTTTTGCTCATTTTGTTAGTCCTTATGTACATTTTCAGTTGAAACTACTGCTGTAACGAACCCTTTTTTTTAAATGCAGCTCGTTCTCAAACACGCCCAGCCTCAGCGAATGAGACAACGACTGCATTTGACTTTAAGATCCAATCGTTTGGAGCGCGCGATTCGAGAAATTGGATCACGAACTCTGAATGCGCTCTCATACGAAAAAAATGAAAACCGTTGCCCGAAAATCGTTGTTTTGAATTGTCTTGAACTGAGTTTTTTGCATTTTTCCTAGACACCTGCACGTCCCGCCCACTCACTATGAATTCCTTCTATTTTTTTTTTGGAAATTTTGCAGCGATTGAAATAATTAGCATATTTTGCGTTATCATACGCAGTGTCAATTTCTTTGCATTGCACTCAATGCATGCGAAAGCTGCAAAAGGTGTCAGTACAGAGATTAAGTCTAGTACATGGTCTAATAGATACATGTTTGGTCTGAATGAGAGTTTCACGTTTTGAGGCAGTGCGAGACGAAGAAGAAAAGAAACGTGAAGAGCTCATGGCTGAATTCTCAGAGACATAGGAACAGAGTTGCGCGTGAATTCGAGATGAAATTGAAGGAGCTCGAGTCAATGAAGGAGGAAGAAATCCTACAACTGGTAAGATGATGTAACCGCCATTTCCTTGTTGGTTCTTTGTACTGGTCCGACGAGCACAATTAGTATTTGTTCTTTTACAAATTTTGCCCGTTTCATTTTGGATGTTTTCTTTTTTTTTCTTTTCTTTAGCCGTTACTCAAAACCGACCTGTCGAGCGAAGCGAATCAAAGCTGAACTTTCTAGCGCTCCATCACTTGAGAACGTTAACCTGTACAGGACAAACGCATGATTTTGTATTTAGGGACCTGGCTGGACTGTGAGGTCGCTCGGCTCGGAAAGTCCTAAAATGAGGAGTCTCCAACTCCATTCCCAGTTTTGAAATTTTGTAAAAAAATGAAGTGCAGAATCATATGAAACAAAATTATGCATTTTTGCCCTCCTAGCACTGTGCAATCGGAATAGGTATTGGGAATTCCAGTATTGACAATCATTTTTCGGCCTTCTTCGACTTTTGAATTGTATGTCATCAAGAAATTGAGTCGAGTGGTTTGAAAGCTATTGTTTTGGAAAAATAATGTGTGATGTGGGTTACAAAGACTCTGCAGTCTGGATGGCGCAATTTTTTTTCGAAAAAGTGGTTGAAAGTCCCTTTGTCAGGATTGATTATTAAGCAAAACGACATGAACGAGGGGATATGCATTGATATCAATTAGTTACAAACTTCACATCAATTACTCAAAACATTTGGCAAAGTCGAAAATTCCTCTACCACTAATAGAAGGCGTTGCAAGTCAGGAGAAGCATAGGAAATTTTCAGTAAGAGAAATGCTTGAGATCTCCTCTAGCAAAACATTCAGACATTCACTCAAAAGTGACTGTCGTCAAGTAGTATTAACATGGGTAAACCTGCGAAAGAAGGATCGGCATGCGACTCAAGCTGCTTACCTGAGGTCGTGTCGAATCCACTTGTAAGCTCTGGCAGAGTGGAGAATATGACACTTCTGAGACAGTTATATCAAATTTTCAGTAAGAGAAGATGCTAAGAAGATCACATTGATGAGGGGGAAAAACAGTCTTTAGAATGTTTCGGCACATTTTTAGATTGGATTCCGTCTGCGTCAACGGTCAGAATTGAGAGATAATGTAATCTGTGGCAGTCTAGCTTCTACTTTTATTCAGTGTCCCTTATTGCTTCGAAGAAATTATAAACTGATGATAGAACTGCTAAATTTTTTGCGTCACCTTTTTCCGATGAACTATAGGTTATAGGCTGGATATTTAACGTTATGAACAGCACGTTAAGGTGGAGGGTCGTCTATCTTTTGATTTTCAGTCGAATGCTGCCCCAGAAATTGATTAGTGAATGGAGTGCAGGTTACAATTCCGCAATACACTGAATCTTATAAGAAGCAGAAATTGAGGAGCTCGAAGGAACAGATCTGTTTCAGTGTGTCTTCTGTACAACTTCTTTTGTAATTTCTTTTGGTCTTATAGTTGAAGGTACCTGAACACTGGGCTAGTTTTGACCTCACTTAACATTTTCGAAAAACTGTTAAGTCGAGAGGTCGTTATCAGATAGGTACACCTGGAAGGTACGCCGAATGCGAGCTCGTGATCTGTTTCTATGTTTGTGAGCTGCTGTTTAGAGTCAAGAAACAAATGTTTTCAAAATTGTTGCCACTTGCGACGTTTTGCTCAAATGCTTACTTAACTATCGATAGAAGAATCCATGCAGAAAGCTGAATGGAAACATTCGTGGCGCTCTGAAGTTCCTTCAAAGAAGCTCACGACCACGAAACTAGTCTGAGCAATGAGATTGAAAAGTTGCGTCGCGGAATCTCCGAGTTGGAAGAAGCGAAGCAGCGAGAGGTGCGCTAGCAGTTTACTGGCTAATTTTTGATTGTGGCAAGAATGTATGTAGTTAGCCACAGTGATTATTACCCTATTTTGAGCTGTAAGGCATTTATTTGTACGTTCAACGCTAACTTTCCTCCATATTTTCTTTTTCGCTGTTAAAATGTTTTGCTATATATGTCCTCTACTTCTTTTCTTTTAGAACCGTAAAAAGGAGAAGATGGGAGGTTAGGAAGGTTGTTGTGGTTAGATAAGAGGATTGGTCTGGATGGGGAGATTGGGATATAAGAGTCGTACTGGCACCGCCATTTCACAAGTCCCGAACTAAACCCTCTATCAGGAGCAGCAGGAGGGCGTGGTCCCGTTAATGTCTGGAACGTTGTTTCTGTTGTAGGTTTTCGGTTCGTTTTTTTTTGGTTAACTGGCTTGAAGCAATAATGCAGATTCCGAACCGCAATTCTAAATGCAATGCTTCCCTTTTTGTTGAGTTGAAATATTTGTGCGATCATTGTTAAAGCTCAGTTAAAAGCTGTATGCTTATGTTTGTTGCAGGTCGCTGAGCTCAAAGATTCATTGGCGTCTGCGGCTGAAAAGCACCGAGCTGAAATTGCCGAGTTGATTGGCAGGAACACGATGAAATCGTGTCGTCAACCCGAAAACAGCAATTGATTGAGCTAGAAGCTATGAAAACAAAGTACGCTGGGTTGCTAGTTACTGTTGCTGTACGTCGAGTGGCTCGAAGATTAAATTTCCTAGACGAATTCGAGGAGAGTCAAGAGGGAGGAGGGGGTTCAATTGTTACTTTCAGGCTGTCAATACATGATGTTATTACTGGTTCTAATACTTGTTTCATTTAGAACTTATGCAGTTCTTTGAAGCAAGATAAGCCTATTTGTGTGCCTGCCTTGATCTTGGTCCCATTACGAACAACTCAATCTCTTTAATCACTTTTATCCTTTTTGCGCCGTCATCGCTCGCTCGCCGTCATCATAGCGCATTAGATCACCGCAATTTCAAGCGTCCTATCTTTTCTCGCATTTCAATTGGCTCTCATTCCTACGAATTTCCTCTCCTTCAAAGTCTTATCTTTTGGCTCCCTACATGCTTTCTCTGCTTTGGTAGCTGCTGTTTTTTTGTGTCCCTGCTCTACAGGGATTCACAGCAGGGCCAGAGAAGTTCAATATGCTTCTATCTTCTCTCTAAATGTGACGCTACAAATAGATTGTTTTGTTGCAAAATAGTTAGTATCCAGTCGAAATCAGTTTTATGTTCAGTGCGTGAGAGTGTGAATACATTTCTTCTTCTTTATTATTCAGATTCGAGCTGGCTCGCGAGGAAGCGGATAGTCTACGTCTCAAAAATGACACATTGGAAAAGCAACTGGATCAGCTCGATGAGACTTATACGCTAGAACGCACTCAATCAGAAGTTGTTTTCATTGAATTTGTGCAATCGGTGACGCTTCTTGGGAGTGACTCATTTCAGAAGGCTTTGCAAAAGCAAATAGAAGAACTAAATGAAAAGCTGATAAGTCAAGAAGCAAGACATCAAAGTCAAAATGAAGCTGATATAGCTGGCATGCGGGATTCGTACACTAGACTTTGCGAGACCAATGATGACCTGAAAAAGAAGCTCGAAGAACTTACCAACTCTTCTGACCAGCAAATATCAGAGTAGGTTTCAGGTTTTGTTTTGGTGATTTTGTAAAAAAGCGTTAGAAAATCACTGCTCAG